GTTATAAAAGAAAAAACAGTATCCTTTAGGAGAATGTGAAGATTCTGCTAGGAGAAAAGACTATTTTGTATGAAAAACAAAGCAAGTCCTTATTATTACATATATACGAGTTTTTCTCTTTTATTTATGCAATGAACGAGTACAATCTTTATTTTATACTCCGTATAATAAAGCTTTAAGCTTTTGTCTCATATACTCAAGCATGTATTATCATTCACTCATGCCTAAAACATATAGTACTATGTATCATATTTCTCATTCTGAAGTTACAAAAAAATATTATTTGCTCATTTGTTAACTGTGTGCAACTTCACCAAACATAGAACATCTAACAAATTTTATACCGACACATGCTTAAAAGAAAACAATTTTTGGTATTGGGCATATTACAATCGCGCAACGCGCGGTCTAATTTCTAGTAGGGGTATATAGGGTAGCAGTGTTTGAAAATTTTGGCAGACCTCGCATCTTCGCGCGAGATCCACACAATCCCTCACCATGGTTGGCCAAAAATACCCTTGCAAAATGGCTTTTCTACTTAAAGTGAACGCACCTTGGTGTGATGAGCAGATTCCTACATGTAATTCTTTTATCACTGTTAGGTCCCCTCGATTTTGATGATTTATATGGTTATTGTTTTGATGATGTCACCCCTTTTTATTATCCCTGTATTAGACTAGTATCTCTTGTACTTGTTCTACTTATGTTTATTGTAATGTGCTATCATTAGTGATTAAGTACTCATAAAAAGCAAAGAGTACTAAAAGAGAAGAAATGTAACAAAAACAAAAAGAATAAAAAAGAAAAGGTACGAAAAAGAGTTAACTGGAATTAATTGAAAACGGAAGCCACCTGAAAAACTAGAATTCAGCAGCCTACTGAAACATTGCAGCCGGCTGAAATTCTGGTTTTCGAGTTAAGGCATCCGAAATAAACTAACTATTCTCTTAGCACAAAATCAATTAAACAAAGGATCAACTTGCAGTCAAAATAACAAATTAATAGAAAGTAATTTTATAAGAGATTTTTTATCAAATTATAAATTTCTTAGAAAATTATTTTACTAAAAGAAAGTAATTTTTATTTGTAAGGAAGCATTGAACAAACACTCAGCTTAAATACCAAGTCTCAACGGGCAAAAGAAATAAAAGATAAGGGGATTGCCCACCTTGAGAAGGGGATTGCCGTGCTAATACGGGTATATAGGGTAGCAGGCCTGCCCGGGTTTGTTTGAAATTTTTGGTAGACCTCGCATCTTCGCGCGAGATCCACACAATCCCTCACCATGATTGGCCAAAAATACCCTTGCAAAATGGCTTTTCTACTTAAAGTGAACGCACCTTGGTGTGATGGCTTTTCTACTTAAAGTGACACCCCCCCCCTATTTGATAGAGAAGATGGTCTCTTAAAGTTAAAGGTGCAATTTTCAAAATAATTTTAGGGCCTTATTATTAGAATTAAAATTCTACTTATAGTGAAATGTACAAATTCTTTTAATTTCATATGAATGGATCTTCAAGACTATTTAAGGAGTGTTTGTTTGTTTTTTGAACGAATGATGCTTATATTAATATCATAGCATTTAGTCGGGGTAAATGATGGCGAAAGGATCATATGTAATATAACTCGCTAAACCTAACTTGGGCAAATTAAAGCCAACGACGATTACTGTAGACCTCTCAACCCCCAAACTAATGCAAGAGTTTTACAGTTAACGAAAGAGTAAAAAAAAAAAGAGTCTCACGGTGGAAATAACAAAAAAAATTGACAATAAAATAAAAACCAGCACTCGATCGATCAGAATCACCAAAAGTACCACTGGCGGGTCTGAGAGGCCTGACCCGCCTCCTCCTCATTTTTTGGTCCATCAAGCGCCATGCCCTCGCCAGCTATGACTCCTTTTGGCTTTCCTTCCCAGATCCCCCTACACTTCGTCTCGTGTGGCACCTCTTCCATATCATCTGCCTCCTACTTTGACACACTAGCACCAGTCTCTGCCGAATGCTCGTCCCCAAAATCAGTCTTCCGCTGTTGTCCGAAACCCCTGGAGCTTGAAGAATCATCCACTGGCCATTTTTTAATTCCTGTAGGGCTGGTCTTCACCCCCCCAGCCCTGAGTTCTACCCCAAAGGATTTCTCACAAACAAAACCCTCCTCATATCTCAGAGGACTAAATTAATCTGAGTGCCCAATCACACCACACAAGAAACATAAATTGGGTAATTTCTCATATTTGAAATCCACCCAATGTCTCTTTCCTTCCTTCTTCAAGGTAGTACCCTTCTTCAGGGGCTTCCTAACATCCATACAAACCCTAATTCTTAGATAAGATTTCCATTTACCACCATATTGGTTGTTCTCAAAATTGATAAAAGATCCAACAAAATTCCCAATTCTCCTAGCAGAACCCAGATTCCTAAATTTATGAGGAACATTATGAACGTGTACCCAACATTCTACCTCAAACAAATTCATCTTTTCAGGAATATCATCTGGCTGAATAGTTTTCAACAGAATCAAATTAAATCTCTTTCAAACAACGAAGGACCATCCTCCAAAACACGATGCATATCCAAAACATGATTAAAATTAAAAAGATACCTTTTATCTCCAATTTCCTCAATTCCAATCCCTTCTCGGGACGCCAAATTAAGGCCAGCAGCTCTTGGAACGCCAGAAAATTAACTTTCCGATCAGTAATCACCGCACCAACCACCAGGAACCCCATCTGCTCCTCGGCCGCATCCGAGTCCCCTGCCTCATCCACATCGAAATCAAGCTCGTTATCCTCCTCTCCAATAGCCATCTTCTTATAGGTGTTGACAATATCCTCCATCTGCAAAGAACCCTTGACTCTAAAATTTCCCCTCCACTCTTTCTCAGCCGAAATCGAACAGACAGAAACCGCTGAATTCACTCAGCGAAGGCTTCACTTCTGAGCCGCAAGACCCAATCCCGTCGCTTGAATGCGAGCTGTTGAAAACGAAAACAGAAGGCCAAAGCGATCTTTGATCGAGAAAGATCGAAACCGGAGAGAATCGACTCTAGCGGCGCAAGCCCTAGAGAGAGAAAGATATATTTATCTTGGTTTTGGCATGTTAAGCTGCTTAAATATTCTAGGGAGTGTTTGTTATAACTTTAAAAAGTGTTTTTCAGCTTCTGACTTAAAAAAAGCTGAAAGAGTGTTTCAAATGACAGTTTCTGTTTAAATTAAGCACTTAAAATCTAAAAGCTGGAAGCAGGTGGAAGGATGTTTTAAACTACTTTTCACTTTTTTTGGGGAAAGAAATACTACGTAGCTTATATTAAAATCAACCAAAACATAGCAACAACCATACCCCAAACTCTATGTCTCCCTCTATCTGTAACACCCCAGCCCCGCAGGACCCAAGGTAGTTACTTCAGACCTCTAGTACTGTCGTCACAAACCACCACGAGCCTTTACCGCGCATTTTATCCTCACTCATGCGCACCCTGAGAAATTTCCCAGGGGGTCACCCATCTCAAGACTAGGAAAGAAGCAAGTAGGAAGGTTTGATTTTGGGAGATCAAAGTAGGAAGGTATGATTTTGGGAGAACAAAGTCGAGGATGCATTACGTATGGACGGTTGATCTCTTCTCTTCCTTTATCTCTTTTATCTATCTTGTGTACTTTTTATCTTACCCATCTTATCTTACTCTATCTTTTGATTTATCTTATCTTGCTTCTCTTTTTTTAATCTGGATCATCATGGATATGTATGAGATCGAGTTCAAAATCTTTAAGGTTTGGATGTTGTATTTCAACTTGGTTTCTTCCTCAAAAATCAACCCATTATTGAATCCTAGAGAACCCTCAAGACCCATTATATAGTTATACAAATGGTTCCTGCTTGTTTGATGATTTTGATCATGTCACAAGCGGCAAGACTAAATCTTAATATTCTAGACTTTCTAAAATAGAACTATTCACTTTTAATGGCAGAAGATTTATGCTTTTAGCATGATTCTACATTTCTACAACGTCCTATTTTGAGCATAAAATATAAATATTTATATTTGCAAACTTTTGGATAATTTATTTTCACTTAATTGTACACCACTCAACTAAAATCAATCCAATGACACCCATTATCATTATTAGACATCATCTACAATTCCCGTCTCCATCTTGCTTCAGAGTTTCTGAAGATCTTGCCAGGATTCCATCATATATTAGATATAGTAGCCAAACCTCAATAGTAGTAGTTAACAAATGGTATGAATAGTTGATTGTATGTGACTAGAGAATGACTTGAGTATCATTGCGGTAAAAGATTAGCTTAAGCACGTTAATCAACTAAGAGATAAAGGTGTCCCATTTTACATTTTTACATGTATTTTCTTTTTTAGTTTGTCCCAAAATAAGTGTAATAAAGAAAACGTGGTCTACATCATTCAACTTTTTTATACTCAAATATCAACCACAACTTTTACTTTTTCAACCACTTTGTTAATAATTGTATCTAACTAAAAGACACATAAAATGAGACAAAGGTAGTATTAATAAAAATAGGTTAATAAAGATGCCGCCTAAATACGTACAATACTTGTATATCAGTTAAATCATTATGAGACATGGGTTATGGCAATATGGCCTATGGGTAACCGCACAGAAGCCACAGGGTATCGGTGCCCCACTCCAACCCCCAAGCCAAAGGGTATCGGTGCCCCACTCAGCCACTACCATTACCGCGATGAGTGAGGAATGTTTTTTGGGGCAAAAAACGTATACCCATGCTTCATACACAGGAGGGGGTATCATCATACTGTGTGGCGCTGAAGCATTTTCAAGCTTGGGACAAGTGCAATGCCCAGCGTTTTCACCATTTCCTGGTAACTCAATGCTCCAGCCTCTTGAAGTTCACCATTTGTGTGTGTAACTAGTGGACTCCAAGGGGCAAGGGTTTCAATAGTTCTCATTATTTCCACAAGTGACTAATCTTTAATAGACAGACAGTCAGTGCACTAAATGCTAGATGGCTGATACAAGCATCTTTAGGAAGAGAAATCCCAGGCAGACACAACCTTGAGACAAAGGTTCACAAAGACGTAATGTCATAATCAAGATTTCGCACAAGCAACATCACACATTCACCTAATTTCTGGTGACGCCACATTACTAGCGGGCGGTGCAACGATTTCACATTTGAACCCAATTCTGAACGTTGGCAGGGTGGTGGGCACATTTACTTTCTAATGGTATAGCTAATTTCCAAGAGTTAGTGGGGACATACGCTCATAGAAATTGGACTGTACTGCCAAAAAAATAATTAAAAACAAAAACTGCAAGCAACACTTCCTCTCTAACAATAAAAGCTACAGAAACCTATCTGCCTAAATATATTATTATCAAAACAGCTAACTTCCTAATTCTGTACTACCAAGCCTCAAATTTGCCTTGCCTTTGACAACCTTCTCCATGATGCAAAACTGTTAGCACGATACACAGTTAACAATTACCCTCAAATAAAAGCAGCTTCATACCTGCAATCGAACTCCAGCTGTTTGGGAACACATGCCCATTTTGTATCTCCATAATTACGAGCCACTCTCACATTAGACTCATCAAGAAACATGATGTTCCTAAACTATCCAATATCTGTGAATTCAAGGAAAGTTGAACAGTCATCTAGCCCAGACAACAAGCCAGGGATGTAACTGTGGGGCACAAGATCTATACACTCAACATCAAGTTCATCCTTGTCATTCATGTCGAGAGTGAAGATATTTTCAAAATCATGATGATGTATTCCGACTTCTAATGCTGCGGTTGGTTGGAAGATTTGACTTCGGTCTTTCCCAATAGCTGTACGTGGATCAGTATGCATGACTGGAGCCTTTTTTAATTTTGATTTTGAAGTTCTTGCTGATTCGGAATGAGCTAGTTTATTCTTTCCTGCGGTTGGTGGTTTGGATGGTGTTTTTGGCTTGGACTCCACGGCAGGAAAAGTGAGTGATGGGCAATCCCCACAGCCTTCAAAGCAAGCCTTTAATGTATCCCTGGAGGGGAAGAGTAAAAAAGTTCTTTAATCAGACAAGTCAAAACATGCTCGGCGAGTACAAAGTTATAAATACGGAGATGCGGTATATTGTTCTTCCGTTCATGGATATGATGTCAAGACTAGACTGTTAATTGATGAAAAACAAACATAAATTTAGACACTTCTTTAGACCACATGAAAAAGAGACATCTATAGATTGATTTGGTGATTGGGAATGATTTACCAAGATTTAGGGAAGATCTTGAAAGTAATGATGGGAGTTCACTCAATTGCATATAAGAGATGGTCTGATGGAAGTCATGGAACCACTTAGAACTCCACGGCCTCATGTGGGTTGATTTGGTTTTGTAGCAATTGAATTACTACGAAATAGATTACTAAGGATTTTATCACTAAGGATGTTTTTACTTGGACGGTAATCTGTCCCAGACCAGACCAGACTTGGATAGTTATAAAAATACAAAGAGACCAGACATTACAGTCCAAGTAAATCAGACCAGACCAGCAAATTACAGTCCAAGTAAAAACATCCTAAGACTTAAATAAAATCTCGATTGCAAAGGAAATAAATTCATCCAATTCATGAGAATCACCGGATCCCATGCGTACCAGAGAGCTATGTAATGCACTCAAATTCAGATATTGAGAAACCCCAGGAATTCATTTAATCATGTGTCATCACACCAATTCATAGTGATTCCCTTATTCCCGGGAATCAGAAACCAGTCCAGATGAGACCATGGCATATTCAATTTCAGAAATTGATACAACAATAACATCCAAGTGTATTCAATTTCAGAAATTGATACAACATCCAAGCGTATTCAATTTCAGGAATTGATAAAAGATGAAAATTCAACCACAGCTATGACTAGTAAGTGGTAACCAAATCATTTACTGATATCACTCAAAACAGAAAAAGGTGGTGAACTCCAAAGATCCGTACCTAAATCGATTTTCAGCTGTGTGTTGGGAAGGCTTCAAGTAGATATCTTCAGCTGTATGCAGTTTTGATGGAGGTGAATCAAGACCAAGTATTTCAAGCCGTATGAGACGTGGGATAGAGGTGTCATCATCTTTTTCTGCTTGAAGTTCAAGAGTAACATCCAACCGCTCCTCTGAAAAAACAGAGGCTTCCTTCTTCAGTTTAGAGATAGAGACAGCCTTATCAGTCTGTCTACAGGGGTTCTCGGTAAGTGCAGCTCCTACTAACATGCTACACTGTCTAAGGTTAGTAAATGCCAATTTAGCCTGTGGCCTGATGGGATTTTGAGAATAGTAATGACCAACCATTGATTTCAAGATTAAAGGACTGAAACCACTTTGTGAAGATGATCTGATGCACGTGCTACTTTTCCTGGACCTCCAGGCAGATGATAGAAGGGCAAAAAAATGCCTTTGAATGAGGGGTTCACGATCTGGCAGTTCCAAGGCCACATCTAACAATGTTTGTAGGTTTTCCTGTACAAAAATATTGCAATAATTAATTGGGGCTGAAATACTGCCTCCATCTCAAAACAAAGGAGTCATGTTTCACTAAGGTACTCTGTATTTTTATCTAGTAAGGTACACCTATTAGAACTCATCATTTCTAACATACATAACTCATTTGGACCCCTTTTGAAAGAAAAAAATACATTACTATGATAAAAATCAGAATCTTTTTTCGAACAGGATTCCTTTTTGGAACAAAGAGTTCTGGGTTAAAAAAACCGGGATGAAGGGAGCCATTTATTGGATGAAATACCATTTTTTTGGAACACACGTGCTTGTTGCTGCAACATTTTGACAAAAAATGTCATTTATAACAATGACATAACATAAATAGGAAAATTATAATAAAAATCTTTATGCTTACCTCGGTTACCTTCAGGAGGCCCTTTCCGGTGCAAATATTGTTGACTTTATCACTATTTATAACTTCAGGGGCAGAAATAATGTATCTGTGTATGAGTTCCCTAAACCTTTCATTGCAATGAACAGGATGGCGAAATCTGCCTGTGTAAACTCCACCACCGGTGATTCCATACAAGATATCACTAACGAGACTCCAGTGAGGGCCATATTCATGGACAGCCGCACACAATATAGCATCTTCTTGTGGCAACCATTTAGCAGCAGAAGGAAAGTAATCTTTAGATAGCCCTTTCTTTCTCACCTTCTCTGGTTTTAAAGTAAGAATGCGCTTTACTGGCATCATGTTAATTGTGATTCTCCCTCCCATCTTGCTCTTGTTTGATGACTTAACTTCAGGATCGACTGTGTTCCTCTCAAGATGTTTTAAATCAGTAGATTCATCCTGCTGGATCGGAAATGACAGTTCTAGACATAGGGGAGAAACCTCTGAAGTCTTCTTGAATTTTTTTGACTTCTTCAATTGTGTAGACTCCTCTCCACATGATGCATGTTTACGCTTCCTAGGTTGAACTGAGCGTGCAGACGCAATTTCTGGGGTGGTGACAACCTCTTCATATATCTCATCATCTGTGGACATGTATTCAATAGGTGACTCATCTTTCATCGGTTTTGTTTCAGCACCTAGGCCACCTTTCTTCAAAGATTTGAACTTTGTTTTCTTTGATTTCTTCTTTAGCTTGGGCTTAGAAGAAGCTACAACATCATGGCTGCCGAACAAATAGAAGCTCGTGTGACAAACCCTTAGGTGATTGATGTAAAATAGAACTATCTAAACTCTAGATCCCAAAATGTGAAAAGACATAATAGTGGCTTAGGCAAGTCCCAAAAGAAAGTTATTATGAGTGAGCTTACCCAATAGAATTTTCATACTCAGCTAGCTCCTTCTCTCTAGCTTTAGATTCCAATTCTTCCCTCAACTATTAAGTCAGACAAAATTGGGTGAAGTTAGAGAATATAAAATTTGGACTCAAGTTTAGTCCCATATCCCTCCCCCCTTCACTCCTTGGGAGGCATAGGAGCAGTTTTAAAGAATCACAATGATGAGATGAAGACCTGAATTTGAGCCAATGTCTCCACATGCTGTCTGTAAGCCTCAGTTGCAAAATCAGCATCCCATTCTGATGCCAATAGGAAAACCAATTAGTATAAGGATGTTTTCTTTTGGACTGTTTTCAGTCCCAAACCAGACCAGACCAGAATTGGACAGTTATAAAATACATAGTGACCAGACATTTACCAGAACAGACCAAACCAGTTCAGACCAGACCAGATCACACCAGTAAATTTCAGTCCAAAAGAAAACATCTAAAGTTCTTAGAAGAAGTATATGCACAAGTTTAATACATTTATGAGAAAACTGTAACTTAAGAATTTGTATACTATGTCAACTACAGCTCTCAGAATATAGCAGTGCCAAGAACAAAACATGGAAGAAAATACTTATACAAGAAGGCTTACTTTCATAAACTAAAGGCTCTTCATCATCATCCATGTCAGCTTCCATATCCTCCTTTAGCTTTTCTAAGTGATCAAGTTCCCATTCTGTTTCTTCAAAACGATCTTGCAACTCCACTGCAGTTTTATCTATGATAGGGTCCCACAACTCCAGAAAACGCACAACATACCTATCAATTGGACGTAGTTCGTTCTCAAAAGACAAAATTGCCTGCCCTGCACCGGCAGCGGCAGCAGCCTCTGCCATCTGTTTTACATCATCCAACACATCAGCATCTTCATCTTTACCAACCAATGTGATAGCCCGGTCCTCATTTAGATCACCACCATTTGAGATACCAGCTCGCTCTTTATTAATATTACTATTATTATTAATATCATCAGTATAATGCTCATCAGCCTTCATCTCTTCATCATTAGCAAATTCATCATCCTCAATCCTCGCAACTGCTTCTTCGGTAAATTCCTGATTGTCCAGATCATCTTCTTGTTCAACTTTCTTCAGTGCCATATAATCGGCTTCATCTTCAGCATTCTTCAAAGCAGCCTCTACATCAGCATTAGAGAGAGGAACCTCTGCACCATCAGAGATCTTCCCATTTTGTGCATTTTTCAATGGAAATGTTCTATGATCCGAAAACAGTTCCAGGGGATCCAGCTTCTTTAAAAATTCTGTGTTATAGCCACCACTCTGTATGACCAAATCATCAAGAGCACGCTTCTGATTTGCCTTTTTAAGAATATTCTCTTCAATGGTGCTCTCACTGATTAATCGATAAATATGTACTTCACGCGTCTGTCCTATCCTGTGGCAACGATCCTGAGCCTGGCTGTCCATAGCTGGATTCCAGTCACTGTCATAAAATATAACAGTATCTGCACCAACCAAATTAATGCCAACACCTCCACTGCGGGTTGATAGGATAAAGAGAAAAATTTTGGGGTTTGTGTTGAAGCGTTGCATCAAGGTTTGTCTCTCTTCTGGCGGAGTGGAACCATCCAGGCGCATGTAAGTATAACCATACAAATTAATAAAATTTTCTAAAACATCAAGCATCTTAGTCATTTGGGTGAAAATTAATGCGCGGTGGCCTTCTGATTTCAACCGCCTCAGCAGAACTGAAAGCTGTTGCAACTTACCACAGTCAAACTGTATCAGCCGCCTGTCAGGAAAGTACAGTTGTCTTCTGACAGTTGCAGGACGAAGAGGGGCTAGAAGGGGCAGAAGTACTTCAGAACACCTCTGCTTGAAAGTTGGATGAAAGAACACAGATGTCCCACTTTTGCTGCACCAACAAACAGGTGCTGGAGCACGTGCTGCAGGGATTGTGAACATAAAGCTTTCAACCATATCGACCATTCGTTGAAATCTTGAAATAGGTGACAGTACAATATGAGCAAGATTAGAGGACCAAGTAAATGGATTGTTATTTTGACGGTGAATGTCATTTACTGGATATTTAATAGTCACTATATCACGTAAATTTGTTGAGTAAATCGGTCTCCTTTTGCACTTCAAAGAATTCCACCATGCTAGGGACTCTGCATGCTTCTTTGCTTCATTTAGTCTGTTCCTCCTAAGTTCCCTTTGGATCTCTGCAAAAATGCTAGATCCGTGAGACTTTCTTTCGTAGTTTAATCCAGATCCTGTTTCTTCAAGATTTGCAAGACCATCAAACAAGACTGGTGGCATAGCAATAGCTTGAATGTCATCTCTCTCCCAAGAAGTCATTGAGTAATCCAGATGAGTAAATACAAGCCCCAAACCAACAAGGTTAACAGCAGAAAATGGTCTGGGCATAAGCATTGAGCAGATAGAAGAACTCAAGCGGATATCAATGGCACTCATATCAAAAGAGCTTACAATAGGGCGTCCTTCAAATAGATCAGGATGATTGCAGACTTTACGGAGCTGCATAATAACACTAATCATGCCAAAGAAGTTTGAACTAGCTAGAGTTGCTTGTGTCTCAGCACTAGCAATGAAATCTTCATACAGATTGCGCTGTCTCTTTGAGAGTCTACAATATATGACATGTTCATATTTAAGGGGGAGCTGTTTCTCCACATCTCTTTTCAATCGTCTGAGTAGGAAGGGGCGGAGGACATTATGCAGACGATCAACAACTTCTTTGTTCACCTTTTCTTGCCCCTCAACTATACCAGATATGGGATTGCAAAACCAATCCTTGAATTCTTGATGAGACTGAAAAATGTGAGGCATCAAAAAATGCATCAGAGACCACAGCTCCATAAGATCGTTTTGTAACGGAGTACCAGTCAACAGAATACGCCGTTTTGAGTTGAAATTAAGAAGGGTCTGCCACCTCTGTGATTTCCAATTCTTAATAAGATGGGCTTCGTCCAAAATCAAGTACTTCCACTTTTTCCGCTTAAAAATTTTGGAGTCTTGTATTACAAGTCTGTAAGTTGTAACACAGACGTGGAAAGAATTTGGTTTCAACCATCCTTGCCTCTTTATCTTCCGCTCTTTTGCACTGCCAAAATACGTCAGTATTTTAAAAGCAGGACACCACTTGAGAAATTCAGTTTCCCAGTTAAGCATGACACTAGTTGGGACAACAATGAGATGAGGACCCCATATTCCTTTATCACAGGCGAGGTGAGCAAGAAGAGCAATAGTCATAATTGTCTTCCCCAAACCCATTTCATCTGCTAGGATCCCATTTAGCTTCTTCTCGTACATTGTCACAAGCCAGTCCAACCCAATGTGTTGGTACTCACGTAGAGAATATTTCAGAAGGAAAGGGAACTTAGTACGCACTTTTGTTGTTGAGAATGTATTACCCGTTGGTTGTGCAGATCTAGCAGCTGCAGCTGCATCAGCAAGTCGATTCTCACTTTCCCCTTCACCAGAATTAACCACAACATCAGCTTCATTCACTTCTTTATCAGGGCATGCAATGGGTTGCACAACTCTTGATTCATCATCCAGTAACTTTAGATTGGACATTCCGTGCATTGATGAACCAGATAATCCCTCAGAACCCGATGAGGATGCAGATTCAGAGCCACTATTCTTACTATCATCATACTCATTGTCCTATGAAGGGAGATGCGACGCAAAAAAATAATCAAAACTCAGAAGTAACAATAAGTTTATATGCAAGAATTATCAGGCATACCTTTTTATACCTTGCAAGTAGTTCATCTATAGGAATTTCACCCTCCATTTGCAAAAGTAGAATCTGAAAATCACAAATTGGACATTCACCCTTTGGTTTAGAGAAAAAACCTACCAGAACTCTACAATAGATGTTCAATGCTCTAGAAGCCAAGACAACATCTACCTCATTATCCGCACCATTTGGCTCTGCCTTTGCTAGCTCCTCCTCCTCTAAAAGAGTCGTCTCGTCATCCTGAAGATATTTATGGTATAACAGTCTAAATTATGGAGTCACAGCAAGAAAGGATCCAAATTATAAATGATGGGAACAATAATGAGTGCCACATCACTACCCACAAGGGCAATAGGAGATTATGGTGTTACAAGAAATAATTTTCAATATATGTAAAGCTATAACAAAAGCTTCTTACCACATAACTTTCACTGTCTTCGAAAGCTGTAACAAAATCACCATCATCATCAACACCATCCTGCACAGATTGGAAAAGAACTATTAATAGCACCAAACGCTTGCACATAAAGATCTTATAAATACGAATAGGTTCTGAGAAGTAAAAGTTATAAACAAAAGAAAAAAACATTTCATTGTTTTTCCTGGGGTTTATCTACAGAACATTATTAATAAAAACAACCGGGGACGGCATCACTATATCTATCTATAACATGTTTTTACTTATTGCTTCTTTTAAGTAAGCAGATGGCGGATGAAACCTATGCAAGGCCTCATAGTCATATAAAAGGTGTCTGCAGATGTATAACAGTGAATTGTTTACTTAACAGTGTTAAAGGAAATCTTTTTTCCACCAACATGATCATTGAACTACACAATCAATTTAAAAGCACTAGTTATTTTTAATTCCATCAATGTACTATGTATGTTAAATTGTCATAGGATATGGGAATTAATGACAATAAAGAATTGTAAAGCAACTCTTGTGCACTGTTTCATTTTTAGTTACCATGTATAAGACCTGTAATTTCAAACGTGCAGTATAAGCATGTCCTTTAAGTCCTTAATATAGCTTGGCGTATATGCTCTTAAAAACCCATAATAGCAAAAAGCACAGGATCCATGGAACTCTAGTATTGTAATTTCAATAGTCAGACTCATTTTAAAATTAGATAAGTTACTTGAGTCGAATTAATATCAGGCTCACAAAAGCACCTGCTCGTTTTTAAATTCATCTAAAATATGCATTTTGCCGGAACCCTGGAGTCTCCTTCGTGTGTTGCTATACTTGGGCTCCAGTTCTTTCAAATGATTACCAGAAGTTGACAAAACACCATTGCTTTCAACCTGTATGACCCAAAAGGATATATTAACTTGAGAAATATGTATGCTTTATACTCAAGGCTGCAACCACAAACACATACAACTTACACAACCACGACCAGGAGTTGGAGAGGAAGTGTCTCTTTCAATATCAGAACCAACTGCAAAACCAACCTCTTTGGCTGGACAACAAGTTGCTCACATCAGATGGAAGTTAAATTTTTCAGCATTAGGAAAATACATAATGACCCAAAAATGCTCATCTGCCTTACCATTATCTTCCGGAGAGCTAATCACCTCAGGCACATTGTCATCTTCATCTGGGCTATTTTCTCTGCAGACTGAGAGCATTTTGCACTGGGTTATAAATGATTGGAGAAACATTCAGAGGAATGATTCGAGAAAACAAGTCATAGATAAAGCCTCAGAATCAATACTTCGCACTCAGTTACACTAGTTTGCCCAATGAAAAATATAGTTTCTCAGTTATGGGGTCCATGAGAGCAGTAATTTGAGCTCGTCTCCAACCAGGCAGGAAGTATGGTATACCTTGCTCCTTTGCATAACGTTTTAGAAGCTCCTCAATAGGTAGATCCATTTCCTTTTGTAGGGCATCAAGTTCTTCTTCTCTTTCTTCCCTAGTAATAAGAGCTTCATCTTCTTCAATTGTATGCTCATCATCTTCCTAAATCAGTATTAGCATTCACCACATGGGGAAATATTATATGATATTAGTACACTCACTGCAGAGGTTACTACACATTTTCTAAAAAGCTTACTTTTATTAAGGCACTACGTGGCAAAAGCAAAATACAATTAAGCAACTTACTGAGCCATCCTCAGACATTAAACCATAATCATCATCTCTATCAGGAACAACTGACTGAGACTCTGTCACAATTAAAAGGCTGTGAGAGAAGGGAACGAAAGCAACCCAAAGATGAGATTACAAAATGCAGTAAATAAACTATTCATCAACTTGCCAAATTTTTCTTCAGCACTTCTGTTTCCATCATCTAGAGTTCCCTCTCCATGTTGAATTTGCATGTTTTCCTGACAAGAGGATTTTTTAATCCCCTTGCACTGTGTTGGTGAGCTAACTAGGTTTTCTGCCAGCATTGTTGAGTACCTACAATAATGATCATCATAATAATAGAAAATGTCACATCAAATTGGTCGAGACATGTACAACTTAAGTCCACACCAAAACCACAAATGAAAAAATTGCACCTCTCAGTTTGCCCAAGAAGAAACTCAAGCTGTTTATCAAGTGTTTTTTTCTTCTTCTCATCGAGCTCTAACTGATGCTTGTAGAGAACCTGAAGGAATAAAGCATGGGTAAGTTTGTGCTCCAAAGTGCAAAATGACAATTTGAAATTTGATGTGCGAGGGATTCCCCTGTAGTGTAGTTACCAGCTTCTCGATTTTCATCCAAAACTTTTTTACATCCTTGGATATATTCAGGGCCACTTTCCTCAAGCGTAGCTCTTCTTCCTAATAGAATTATAAGAACAAATGCACATAATAGAATTACTCTGTTATAATGGTATTCGAATCTCTCATGTAGGGGAATGATTTTTATACCTTCACTTTTTTTTCTCCTCTTGATGCCTGGTCTGCACCTTTGCTTGCTCTTGTTGCAACCTTCTTTGCTTGAGCCAATTTCCATTTTCTCTCGGACTCAAAGTCCTGTAACAGTCAAAGAAATAGTAACTATAACTTTTTACAAGCAAACTACTTATTGCTCCTGTTTAAGGAAAGTGAATCATTACCTTTGACAGCCATACCATCTCCTCAAGAACATGATCCCAATGTGTTTTAGGGCGTGGAGGTTCTCTTGGAGCTTCAAGTGCCTGGTAATTAGAATGAAAAGTAAGCAAAAATGGACATGTATCATAAGATAACAGTTTCTTTAACTTAAAGAAATCACCATCCAGACTATTTATGGGCGTTTGAAATATATCATTTCACATGTCCAACATTATTCTTCTTTTCCTTCATGGTTTCCGTTTTTACTGCAATACTGCGGCACATTAAGACAGGGTGTTTAGGTCTCACAATGGCTTGGCGGAGTGAGGAGCCAGCTGACTGCCTTATGGCCAAGAGGGGGCTGCTTAGGCAACTGACAACTGTCTACGCGGCAAGCCGGCTTTTGTAGTAATTGCATACAATATATTGTAAAACATTATGATGTGCTTTGTTGCGCGAATTAGTGTATAAAAAATTTAAACAATTAATTAACGCTAGAGATTTAATGCCACCAAACCTAACTAGTTGAGATTAAGTTGTTGATAATCACCATGATTATTATAAACAATATAATAGAATTACTTAATAAATTATATTCATGAAAACGGTGGATTTCTTTTACAATATCATCACAAAATAAAATAATAATTTGTAAAGTAAAAAAAATCTGCAAGTTGAAAGGAAAGAAAATAAACTCAAATATGAGGACACTATTTCCAACTCATGCCTAGAAATGGAAAGAAAAAGAAACATAAGGAAATGATGTGACTGCTGCCTCAAGAAAGAAAACAAAGAAAGAAGAGGGGGGAAATCATGAATTAAAAAAGGATGAAAGAAAAAGGTGGGCTGGCGAGAATCAGAGAAGAGCAGCATATGTGACCAGTGGAGAGCAGAGTGGGTGAGCAACTGACGGCAGCGTCTCTCTTTAGGTTTTAATTTTCTCTACATAGGAGTCCTTTTCTTGTCTGGTTGCAGGGTCAAAATTGATTAGGCAAAAACAAAAGGTTTGGGCACCACCATGAACACCAAAACAATGACATTCAATCTTCGATAAAGAAAATCACATCTGAAAAGTGTTCTCCTTCCCCTTGATGCATAAGTGGCGCCTACTTGTCGCCTAGGTGACACCATATCAAGCATGGTGTTTTAGTACACATAAGATTTCAAGATTCCCCTTAGGGCCGCCCTGATATCTCATGAAAATGACGTTGGATCAACATAATAAACAAAATTAGATCTTTAACTTTAACAATCATGATCATGGTCAAGAGTGACAAAACAAAATTAGCAAATCATTTTAAAACAGTCATTAAAAGCCAATGATATACAAAAGAATGGCATCTCCTCTGAAACTTCTTTAGAGAAATGCAAAATCAAGCAGGGGTCGATATATATACCTTTTGTCGCCTGGCACGTGTTTCATGGTCAGGTTTAGTTTTTGAGCCTTTAGACGACATGACAATGAGATATCTATGACATGACTAAAGTGTCTGCATAAATAGCCAAAAAAAATGCATCAATGATTCATGAACATGTGATCGGAAACAATTTTCTAAATCATAAGGATATCCTCACAGAACGAGACAAACTATAAGTGAAGGTAGGCTGGGATCGGATCGGTTCTGGTTAAAATTTACTACAACCGTTTTAAAATGAAGTTGTTAAAATCGGTTCAGTCCTGGTAAAAAAGGTAGAACCGTTTTGGAACCGAACAAGGTCTAAACATAACAAAAACATAAAGGTATTTATATATTACAACAGAAACTTAAAATAGGCATGCAACTGCCTAGCAAAAAGGTTTTATATTTCCAAGGCACACATCCAATAGCAGATGGTTCAACCAAGTTGAGAATAGTATCAGACTTTAGTGACTTCAAGCCAATAAACTATACTATAAAATCACATTTAAAGAAAGCAAATACACAACTTGAGAATCTGTATACAAAAAAATTACTCACAACCTCTTGATAATGGCAATAATAAAAATAATTCATAGTTCCAACTCCAATTACAACATATTATTTTCAAACAAAGATAGAAAGATCATAAAAGGATACCATTGACTAAGAATATAATTCTATCACCAATAGTCTTTTCTAAGACCAAGTGGCCTCATTGACATTTTTTTAGTTGTACTCCCTCTGTCGCTAAATCAATGTCCGAGTTAAAACCTGGGTTTCCATCCTAAAAGGTCAACCTGATAGGAGGAGTAGCCCATGTATTAATATAGCACTTTGTTCATCCAAACTTTTCCGGTGTGGGACATTTAACACCCCTCCTCACGACAAGACACTTCGTCTGGATCGTGCCATCATTCATTTTTTTCATCAGTCCGTTTATTTTTTCATCCGGCCTTTTTTATATCGCGTCATCATTTTTCATAAGGGCCCCACATTATGGATGGATTTGGCTCTGATACCATGTTAAAACATGGGGTTCCATCCTAAAAGGTCAACCTGATAGGAGGAGTAACCCATGTATTAATATAGCACTTTGTTCATCCAAACTTTTCCGGTGTGGGACATTTAACAGTTCGAAATTTTGAATTGCGTAAACTAGGTGTTTTTGAGGTATTGTGTATTGTGTAAACCTCATGTCGGATTGAGGCGCAATGATGAGGCCTAAGTCTTAACATGTAGGGAAATTGTGCATAGTATAGAAGTAATCATAAATAAATATTAATTAATCCAAGAATACATGTCATAAACATTAACAATAATGTCATAAAGTATGAAACTGTTGTGATGTTTAAACCTAGTGATCCCTCGTGTTGTTGGCTTATTGCAATATTTTCATCTAACATACTTGTATGATTTCCCTTGTAGTCCCACTTCTTTTACTTCGCAACCCGTGTTCCCAAGCCGAGTCAAACTTACCCATCATAAACAAATTGTACCTTACTGCAAGAAAATCTAATTTTGCAGATCATATGAAAAGTGTTCATCCATGTTCCCAGGCCGAGTCAAACTTACCCATCGTAATTCATAAACAAATTGTAATTTACTGCAAGAACATCTAATTTTGCAGATCATATGAAAAGTATACATTTAACATATAGAAATACAAAATTTCTAATACTCCGTATATAATTAAGTTTAGCAAAATAAGCAAATTAAATTATATTACAAATGATTTGAACGTCATAAATGCAAATTATCGATAGCAATATACGTCGTATAATTTTGTTGCAAATTTAATTATATATACTTTTATATAATCAAATTTCAATAATAAAAAAATAAAACTTGCTGACATACCAAAAATTTAAATGTACAATATTAATTCTATATACTTTTTTATAATTAAATTTCTAGGAAACTGGAAAAGTACAACTTTTTACAAATTTACCAACAGCCCTGGAAATCAACATGGTGGGTGAAATACAAAGGAAAACACTAATTAAATACAAGAAAATAAAAACCTTAGGTTTACATTATTACACTAAGTTTATCATACCGAAACTGAGCATTAAAGATTTCTAAATAATTAAAAAAACTTAAGAAATCCAGACTCCAGAGTATTAAACTTACAACACCTTGCGGGGGAGTCGCGACCTTGCGAGTTGCGGAAGAACAAGTCAGAATGGAGAAGTGACTCAATACTCGGAGGTTACTTGACTCTTGTAGATGATGAGAGAGAGGGGCAAGAGGCGAGCAGGAGATGGGGAGGGAGAGGAAAGAGGCGGAATAGAGAAGCGAATCATTGTAATCAATTACTTGAATGAGCTATTGGCCCAATTGTTTCATATAATCGGCTGCCTCCTATTGGGTAAGTTTAAGCTGCGCCTTATTGGGTACTATATAAACTACCTACTTTCCTTTTATGGATGTCCCTAAATAAAGCCTCCTTTCTCTATTCGTTAAACAAATTTATATCAATTTACTCTATTACCCTTAAATAACAATGACAGCACAGTGAAAAACAATGTTAAACAGTGTCAAAACAGTGTACAATAAAGTAAAGTTTATCTCTCAGTAAATGGGGCATTTCAGGAAGTCAAAGGAAAAAAAATTGTTTCCTTAAAATGCATGAAATTCAAAGCAGGACTTTTGTATAGGGATAGAGGGAGTATTTATTAATTTACTTTATTTTTTAATTTCTTACTCATTAACTCATTTTGTATACCTCAAAAGATGATATATTTCTCTACACTAGAATTAAAGCACAAGTGAATCTATACCTATCCAAACTGCTGAAAATAGATATTATTCAGAAAATTAGATGGATTAGGGGCAAATCCAGGACTATGGGAATTGGAAAGACCGAAAGAACCACATCTTAACAAAGTAATGAACAAATAATATGAGTAAATAAGTACCAAAAATAATAAAATAATCAGCAGCAATATTCATTCTAAGGTGGACTAAAATAAAAAATAAAAAATACAATTACAAACGAATAATAAGTATAAAGGTGGACTAAAATAACAACTACTCTCAATCTTCGACCTCCCTAGTTCCTAGCCAGACTTGTGCATCTGTTTACTCAATAAGTTAATCTCATCCAATGGTCCAAAGATCAGCTGCAACATTCATTAATGTTTTTTGTAATACTACTTCTATTTTTTTCTTTTGCACAGAGGCACAAGATGGTTCAGGTTAAGGTCTGCTCAAAGAAGAATAGTGTTACTTATTATTGAATTAAATCAAAAGAAAAAATTGAATTAAACATTGATAAAGTTTAATCTGAAGCACGGTAATATATGGCACGAAAAATGGAGTCTTTGCTTTGCTTAAAATCAAAAGTACGGGCAGTGGACTAAGCCTCAAAAGCAAGAAAGTATGCACCACTATCTAATAATTGGCATTCGTCAGCTCAATCAATATCCCTAGCTATTCAATATCATAAGATTTAACCCTCCAAGAAGGAAGTTCTCCAAATGTTTTGAATCACCGCCCTATATGTTCGGCGTTCATTAGAATTGAAAAGCTCACAAGCTAGAAAACGACGGGTTAACGAGAACTTACATGGTTTAAGCTGAGATTCACTTCCACGGGATCTATGAACCACGGACACGCCAGACTTGGGAAAACGGCGTGGCGGACACAGGGGCAATGGTGGACGCGTGTGCGTGTAGGACACTCCGCCTGGTGCGTGGTTGGCCGGAAACAGCTTCAAAAGCCTCGAACACGGCCGAGCTGAATATAACGGGGATGCTTACAGTCGACGGAGTACGGACGTAAGGGGACAGGCGAGTGTGGAGTCAGCGGAGAGTAAAGATGCAGAGCCGACGAGCGGGGTTAGATAAATGATGGGTTATTACTCAGATCTGTTTGGAGTTTTGGACGTAGGGTTCCATTTCTTTGTTGGATTTTTTCTTAAACATTATTTTCTTCAAAAAATTAAGAGCTTCTTTCATAGTTTCCACGTTAAGAGCATCTTCAATGCTATAATGTTCACGGTGCACATGTGGCATGAGTGATAGCGACATAAATATTAGCATATAAATTATCTCTCTCCTTATTTGAATGATTTTATACAATTTTGGTAAGTTTTTCCCTGCAATGTCAACAATAATGTCAACATCTAAACGGTCTCCTTGACATTGTGGAGAAAAATTTACCAAAACTGTATAAAATCATTCAAATAAGGAGAGAAATAATTTGTTTATTAATATTTATGTGGTCATTTCTCATGCCACGTGTGTACCGTGCACATTTTACCATTGGAGATGCTCTAAGGCTTTGTTTGCAACCACTTGTACTTAAATAAAAACACTTTTTGGGAAAAAGTGATTAGTAGTAAAAGTTTGTAGTGTTTGATAAAATAAGTGCTTTTTGTGTAATAGAAAAAGTAAAAAGTAGATTCTACACGGAAGCCGAGAAAGTAAAAGTTGGTAGTGTTTGGTAAAATAAGTGATCTTTTCTTTAAAAAAAACCAAAATCACTTTTCTTAAGTAATTGCAAACAAGCCCTAAATATACGGAGTATAAATTAACGGTTAGTAATTATTTATAAAAAATGGTCGATAAATTAATTTTAAAAATATAATCCCTCCGTCCCAAAATTAACTTCGCATTCACTATTCACACGGTCAACTTAAATTACTCTTACTTTTATGTTTTATATATCAATTTTTATCAAATTTATATTTTTTTATCAGGCTTTGCAGCAGTTTTAATAAAGTTTCTGAATATGTAAATTTAATTTACTAGAAATAATATGAGTGTGAATAGGGATCAAATTGTTTTATATTCAATCAAGCATCGCAATTGGAAATGGGAAGTTGTTTCAGGGATGGGGGTAGTATATTATGGAGTATATATTGAATAATATTAAGTTCATATTGATGTGATAGTTGAGCAAAATATAAATTACACATTATTTAATAGACTAAAATGAAACGACCAAAAGTTAAACTAGGCAAAAGGCATTTGTTTATTAAACTTGAAGTATAATTAAATGCACAAACCAAAACTACTTAAGATCTCATAGACTTTGAGAATTTTTTTTATTCATGATATTCATAATTTTGTTGATTGAATGTCTGTATTCATTTGAAACCGAAATCTTAAACTTGTTCTCATTGTTATTCGTGACGTTACAGAGTAAAATTGACTAAACGGGTGTGGCAGTGTGATAGAGTATAGATCTAGATAGAAGTGAGAGCTAGAGAGAGAAAGCTTGTAATTAATATTTATTTACCCTCTACAACTACCAAGGGTTGTATTTATAGAGGGAATGTGGGATCGGGGGCGTAGCTCACCTGGTAGGAAGGGAGTGCCACAAGGGAGAGGGTCATGGGTTCAACTCCAAGCAATGACTTGGGATGGAGCCTCACTCTCTTTCCATTATAGTGAGATCAAAACTCAATTTACATCCTCCCAGCTAGCTGTCCGGTCGGTGCTGGGGGGGCCTTAAGGATGTACCAATTATTGCCTGCTCCTCTTGGCAAAGGGTCCATCAAGTTAATTCCCCATCTTGAGAATGGGGTGGTCGTGCTGACCAGTGTAGTTGACTGCTGGACGACCAGGGGCACGTTGGAAGTATTGGCATGCGATGCACATTTTCTTGCCACTTCAGCACAATCCTGGGCCATCGTCCGCCAAAAATAGCCCTGGACGACGATGCGCCTAGACATACTGAAGGGTCCCTGATGTGATGAGCAAATTTTGCAGTGTACCTCTTCCATGGCTACCTCGGCTTGGTCGGGGTGTAAGCATTAGAGGAGAGTGTCATTGTATGACCTTTTGTAGGGCTTTCCATCTTCTATGGTGTAACTTTGAGCCCTCAGCTTGGCTGGCTCCCAAAATAATACTTCGATTATAATTTTTTTTTACATATTCTTCTAAACCTATTATAGTATGTGCTCTAGTTAATATCAACATCCTTGACTGGGATGAGACTCGAACTCGTGACCTCCTCTTTGAGAGATCAATGGTGATGCCATCAGACCACACCCGGTACTTGGCGATTATAAGAAATAAATATTCAAAAGTTATGCAGCGGAATATAACAACTTGGAATATGTGTGTGTCACCGCCACATCGAGTCCTCAATTGACTGAATGCTAAGGTTATCCACCATTAAATCATAAGTTCCATAAAAATAAAGAGTTTCTAACTTATTATTTAAAATACCTTTGTACATTACTTTTATTTCTAAGTTATCTATGCAGCGCTCTCGAAGTTCACTATTCATCATAATCATCACCTGATGAAAATATTCAAACAGATTGAGAACACAAAAAGAAACTAAAATTAGCTTTTGCTAAGTAAGATTATATTTCACCCCAACCCCGTAAAATAATAAAGTTTGGAGAAAAATATACAGGGGAAAATTATGATTACCCCTTCTAGCTTGATCATAATTATTAGTTCAACCTTATATTTTTAAAAGTCAACTATTTACCCCCCTCAACTACGATTATTGTTGTAATATTCCCTTTCTATCAACATTTTAGTCAAATGCCTATTTCTTTGACTAAAATACCCTTGTTTAAGATTATTTGTTAAATTCTCTCATCTACGTATTAGGGGTGGGTACGGTACGGTCCGGTCCAATATTTAGCCGAACTCGTACCCGTATCGTGACTATTGAAACAGGTTGGTTCGATCTTAGACCTAAATCCGTTCGATAAGGTTCTATTTCCAAACGGGACGGTACCATATCATACTAATACCAAAAAATTTCACTTTTTTAAGTGTTTAAGTGAAAGTTAAAGTTTAGCCATCCTCCAAAAATCCACATAATTTATCAATTTTCATATTCCGTATTACATAATTATTAAATTTCAGATAAATTGTAGTTGTACAAATTTAAACTAGTCATGACATTGTTTAGAACTGGTATAGTCTGGTTCACGACAAAAAATTTGAGATCCGCTTCAAATTTTTTTTTCCGGTCTGGTACCATATTGGTCTGGTTCGATACCATGCCGCTGGTTCTGTATTTTGCCCACCTCTGCTTCAAATACACAGCCGAGTAAATTTCCCTTTGATGAATGGGACTACGACTGGGAATTGAAATTGGAGCAGAAAATAAGAATAACTGGAAGGCACAAAGCACTTTCAAGTGTGCCGCAATAATAATGTTTGGGAAAACATTAATTTTTTGTTTGAATACTTTTGGAGTAAGCATGTGAAACTTTCAGTTGATGTACTCTTATTTTATACTACTCCTTAGTTTAGTTTAAGAGATAAGGACATTTTTGAGAATTCCACTTACAATTAACGGTCTAAACAACTTAAATTTAACGAAAGGGGGATATTCTAACTTTAGTAAAAGCTTAAGGGGTAAATAATTCAGTTCTAAAAATATAAGGTTGATTTAATAATTATGACCTAACCTCAAGGGGTAATCATTATTTCCCCAAATATATAATGTGTATATATGCAAACTATACTTCAAATAATTATTATACTAACAAACAGAGAGTCCAAAAATGATTTCATGCCTCATACTCCCTCCGTCCCTGAATTATCTTCAAACTTTCCTTTTTCGTCCGTCCCAAAATTATCTCCTCTTTCCCCTTTTGACAAAGAATTTGTGGTTCACAACCATTCTTACACATTCTTACACATTTCTCTCTCCTCTGCACAACTCTCCACCACACAAATTCCACTATCTTAATAAATGTGCCTAGCCGAAATGGGAGATAAATTAGGGACGGAGGGAGTATATAGTTGAGAAATAATATATAATGAATAAGAATTTAGTTTTTCTCTGAAATCCCTAAGGTTTCTTTTAAAGATAGGTGAAACTCAAGATTTCTTGAACCCAACGACTTGGGATGTTTTCTTTTGGACCGAAATTTGCTGGTCTGGTCTGGTCTGGTCTGTTTAAGTCTGGTCTGGTCTGGTCTGGTCTGTTTAAGTCTGGTCTGGTCTGGTCTGGTCTGGTAAACGTCTGGTCTCTGTGTATTTTATAACTACGTAAGTCTAGTCTGGTCTGGTCTGGTCTGTTTAAGTCTGGTCTGGTCTGGTCTGGTCTGGTCTGTTTAAGTCTGGTCTGGTCTGGTCTGGTCTGTTTAAGTCTGGTCTGGTCTGGGACTGAAAACAGTCCAAAAGAAAACATCCTTGTTGTACCACCGGGTGTACGGTGGCCACCGTAAATCCGGTGGCATTTTAGTTATTTAACTAAAAAGTCACGGCTACCGCTAAATGAGCATTAGTGTACGTGTAGTGAGCATCTGACCTATTTTATTGGGTATTAGAAGTCTAACAATGAGCATCGCGATATTTGCTTCATATCTTCTAATTTACTCTTTGTTTCTTATTTTTTTCTTTTATAAAAACTTATTAAAATATATCTATAATTCACTCCTATGAATTTCAATATGTGAATCTAATGTAATATGATACTATACCTTTGAAAATGCATTGATATGACATTTTAAAATGAATATAACCAAATGAGCATACATAACTTACAAAGTACGTATTGATATGAAAATCGTAAAGTTTGTTAGTTGAACATCACAACATTTTCATTGAGCATCAAACATCCGCTATTGAGATGAAAATCATGTTTTTTGTTAAATGAGCATTATTGTACTTATAATGTGCATTCGATCTAATCTATTGAGTATTAGGAGCCAAACAATGAGCAACACGATCTCTCTTTCATATTTTCTAATTCACTTTCCTTTTCTTATTTTTTCTTTTATAAAGACTTATTAAATTATATTTATAATGAACTCCTATGAATTTAAATATGCTAATCTAATAGAATATGGTACTTTTGAAATGTGCATTGATATGACTTTCTAAAAAAGAGCATAACATCAGTACCGTGTGAGCACGCATAGCTTACAAAATGTGTGTTGATATGAAAATCG